AAAACATTTAAAATTTTAAGCTAATCCGACTATGCACTTACCTTAATTTAATCTGTGCTTAAACTTAGATATTGTCAGACCAGTGATTTTTTTAAAAAATGCACTTATTAAAATAAATATGTATACATCATTTACATGAGTTTACAAACTCTATAAAAAGAAACTCAAGATATTGAGTTTTTTTTTTATTGCATTATGGAGATTCTTAGATAAACAGATCTGATCCGACTATGCACTTACCTTAATTTAATCTGTGCTTAAACTTAGATATTGTCAGACCAGTGATTTTTTTTAAAAATTCACTTATTAAAATAAATATGTAAGTATACATCATTTACATGAGTTTACAAACTCTATAAAAAGAAACTCAAGATATTGAGTTGTTTTATTGCGTTATGGAGATTTTTAGATAAACAAAAAGTGGAAGAACACAACATAATTTTATAATTACGAATAAAGTATGTATAATTTTATATAAGCTTTTACTCAACATCTTTATTATGTAATTTTTAACAGCCGCCCATAAATAACTGCAATCCCAGGGGAATTGCAGATGCGTGCCGGCCTTAGAAAAAAGAGTAGGCGCTTTTCTCAAAGATACCTAAGTAGTATCGGTCCGGAAATATCTCGGGTGGCAGTCGATTCCACAAGGAAGTTGTGCGAGGAAGAAACTTTTTTCTAAATCGCACAGTGGTGGACCGCCAATCATCCAGATTGTATGGATGTTATCGCAATTTTTGTCGCGATATGCAATGGTGAAATTTAGCGGCTGGAATTATTCCGAACAATTCCTAGGAGCACTCCCCATTGTAGATGCGATAAAATACGCAAAGAAATGCAACATCTCTTCGCAGTGCCAGTGAGTCAAGCCGATCAGAAAAAGCTCGATCGCCACCGAACCGAACGGTTCGGATCAAATGGAAGGAGCTGGCACTGGAGAGACCCAGCCTAGATATGGGAACAGTATTCAACAGTACACACAGAACAGTAACAGTAGTTGCAGGCGGTGTACCGACATGAAATACTCTGCTGCTCTGCTGAGCAACACAAACCGTTTAGAGGAGGAGTGGCCTGAAACTGAGGAGATACGACAACGGGGTTCTTGTCTTTGTCTCCCATAAATTCGGTACTACGCATAGAGAGTAGAAGTACCAGAAAAGACGCGTTAAAACCGGAGCCCACTCCGAAGCACATGTCTTCAGCTAAATAGGTGGCCCACTAGATTTGTTGACATCCAGGGAGCGCTGTGTAGTAAACAGCACACCCTGCATAAAGCACTCACACCGCCGACCAGGCGGTGTGTTCCTCCCGTCATCGAGATTCGAGTTGGGTGCAAAGAGAGTCTAGCAGATTGGCTTTCTTCTTTGCGGCATTGTTAAATGAGTCGTCCTTCCTGTGCAAAGATTGCAGAGATAGCTGAGAGAAGTTCCCTTGGACAGCCTTGAACTAGAATGCACGTGTTCGCGAAGGAAGTCAAACTAGTTTCTCGCCAATTCCGCGATGTGCTCTGACTTTGCTTTGGCAATGACACTTTTGAAAAACCTGGAGGCGGAATTATACTTATTTTTAAGAGCGCTAGTGTTTGCATCACGAGAAGTTGATGCGTCAGCCCAGGCTCGGTAGCAATCCTGCTTATGGCGTGATGCAATACTATGACTTACACCTCTCTGCAGTTGGATAGGTTTCGTATTCTGGTTCTGTACTCGAATAGCCATCGTAAGGATAGGGCTACGATGTAGCTGAAGTGTTTGTTCAGAAGTGTTTGTTCAGTAGGCTGAACAAACACCTCAGCACTTCAACATATCGATAATTTAGCACCGCTGAAGGGACTGTATCACCGTCCAAATTTTGACAGAATCAAAGGTTTTGCCTTTGTCCGCATACGCAAGGCAAAGTGGCAGGTTGTACTCTTTGGTCTTCTGTAAAATTTTCCGCAGAGTATGTATGTGGTATATGGTACTGAAGCCCTTTCGGAAACCGACTTTTTGGGGAGACTGTAAGTCGTCCAATCAGCTTGCGAGACTGTAGACACAAAACTGTGATTAAGGAAGAGCTCTTTATTTGAATACATTAGGTTCTTTCGGAGCAATAATTTCACCAACTTCATTTGGTATCTAATTATCCGATGTAAGTTATTGAAAATTAAGCGCGCTATGATATTTTTACCTCTATTTATGGAATATTTGGTGGCATCATTGGATGCCCAATTACTAAAAATATGTGGTCCGCAATCGTGGAAGGAAACCCCTTTTCAGTATTATGAATTTTATTTTAACAAATATGAGAGCCATATATCTCGCCGTAAGATTTCATTTCATGGGAGCTAAACATGTATAATTAGCGCAAGGACCAATGAAACTGTTTTAGACAATGATCTTATAGACCATTTTACTTATAGTATCATTGGTTTTAGGATATTTTATGTGCTGATTTACCTAGTTTTCGGTAGTGAAGCGGTGAACAATAACTTCATGGGGAAACTTATATGTCTAACTAGTTTTAAAATAATCGAGGAAATGAAAGCCGCTAACATCCATTTGAATATTCTGAAGGATACATGCCTGCCCACAAAACACAAGGGTAATGAGGAGCCCTTGTTTACTCTTTTAAATTTTAACGGGACCTAAAAAATAATTTATCATTTATTAAGATAGCATTTACATTTTCCGATATATTAAGCTTGGTGACAGACCTGGTTTCACAACACGCATGAGTTTTATTTGCCTCAAACCCCCTGTAGCCTGTTGACTACTGGGGTAGTGGGTGGTAGGTACTCGTATGGTGCAACTTTTTAAGATTGAACGGGTATATGCAGTTTTTAATTCATATATTTTATCGTAGATATTACATTTTTGTTTATATTTTACCGTAAATATTAAGGGTAGCAACGTTAGGCAGAACTTATTATCCATCATTTTAACCAGACGGTCGGTAAAATTTGTTGACTTACCTCACACTATTCGAACCAAACGGTTTACTTCATCGTTCGTCATACGTACAGCAAAGGAGTGGAATAGATTACCAGCACCTGCTTTTCATTCGATGACAATGCAGTTGTGAAAGTGTTGTGTTGTTCAAGACAAGAGCTAATAGGCTTTTGTTAAGCTAAATCGCTGTGGATGGTAGGTGGTTCAGGACCGCGTTTTGGAAATTCCTCAGGAGAGGCCAATGTTCAGTAGTGAACTTACATCAAACATTTCCTAAAATACTCTATTTATATGTTAGTGTTTTTATTTGCGACTTATGTTTTAGTTTTTATATATTCTATAACCCAAAGAATGTCATACGTTTTTAAATCACTCCTTATAAAAAAGATCTAGGTATTTGTGCTGTAGCTATATTGTAGCTCGACTGCGCTTGGAGACCACGCTGTTATCTTAAAATGAGGCATATTGCTACTAGGTACGTATTCTTAGTGATCAGCGATGACAACTCATCTGTATTTTCAATCTTTATCTGTCTTATATGCTGTGTAACATGCTGAAAGATAGATGGTATCATTTTTCGGAATTATCCTTACGTTATTAAGCAGGTAAGTAGGTATTTTGATTTTATTACAATATCTAAGCTTTCCTTTTTAACAGTTTACTATACTTTTATGCAATTACTAAGGTAAAATATAGTATTTATTAGAGTCATAGGATTGGTCTTAGCCTTAATTCTTCCCAAAATTATGTGACAAAGATGTTTCAAATAATTTAAAATAAAATAAAAGAGTAAAAGGGTGCCATTATAGTAATAACCATTTTTAAAATTAGTCTTCAATCATAATTTAACTTCTAATATTTAGTTTAAGTTCAAAGGTCCAAATAAGTACTAAAAATAAAAAATAAAAATTGATTGTACTGGTTTAATTTCTCAATGCATTACAATATTCATAAATCGAATTAGGAATGAAGAAGGTACAAGTGTAATAAATCTTATACGCGATTACTTCGCGTGGCTCAAGACCTACTGTTATATTAGTGCCTGAAAGTGATATGACAAGAAAACTCCGAAATTTCAATATATTGCAATTCTTACTCTTAATTTTATTACAACAACCTTAAAATAGTGTATACATATTGAAAGACTATACAACTAATGTATATTCGCTTTTACAGTTAGTAAAACTTGATAGAAGTACAAAATGATAAAATTTTTAAAATTGAAGTAGATTCGGAGCTTATCTTACCTTAGAATCTAAATTTATCTAACAATTTATTAATATCTCAGTATTTTCCATACGAAAAAAATGTATGCAATAGCTAAACAATTTGAGCTCTTTTTATCTAAACGTATGATATGCTTTGTGCAAATTGAATTTTTATTTACATAATAACCTTGTAAGTAACAAATTTAACAAAAATATTAATAATTATACTTTTGATTATAATTTTAAATTAATTTGAATTCACAATTCTGATGAGCCAAATTTTATATTAATTTTATATTATATTTTTAACCAAATTTATCAATAAAAAAACTTTGGTAGTATTTATGACTTAACTAACGAGAGATTGACAACATTTTAACCGAATTTTACGATTTTCTTACAATATTTTACAATAAACAAAATTCTAATCTAAGTTAACATACATTAATATTAACTTCTATACAATACTCCATATTTGCCGGAAGTTAATTACAATTATATTTAAGTCACCCTTAAATCACAATTACATCTAGGAACGAATATTAAAGTCGGTTATTTCGTTGTGGCCGACATCTATCTCATCTTAAATATGAATGGATTTAACTTACTAGTGTTGTCATGATAAAATGCTCACTGTAATGCCCATTACGCTTACATTAATAGAAGTAATCAAATACAAAGAGCCATATGAGATGCTATATTGCTCTCGTTACTAACACTAGATAGATAAATATTTACAGAACACTGCGTGAGCTGTAAATAATGAGATGTGTTTTAAAACGGTATAAAATCGATCAAATTATTGAAACTACTCAAAGGGCTGTGGCCAGAGCGGAGGCGGTGGCGGCAGCGAGTACACCGGTGGCTATGTAGAGATGGCAAGGGAGGGACGGTGAGGTGGATGCGGAGGGTGAGGAGTATGCGGCGAGGTCGCTGGTGGGGTGCGAGCTCCTGGCGAACAAGTCACCTTCCCCATAAATGATCTTATATCGTCAAAATAAGCGTCTTCTCTTTCTGTGTCCGCTGAACTGGGCGAATCTCCCCCTTCTGCCTCGTGCTTCTTCAAATGTCGATCGAGGTTCGTCTGCTGTCCAAAGCATCTATCGCATAAAGGACACCGAAATGGACGTTCCTTGTTATGTATGTTGCGAACGTGTCGCTGCAAGTTGGACGAAATAGAGAAAGATCGCTCACAATATTTGCATTTGTAGGGCTGCTCTCCTGTGTGAGTCCTCAAATGTCGTGTCAGATTGGCGCTCCTTGGAAATACTTTTCCGCAAAATTTACAAGCGTAACGGTCACGGAGCTTACCTGTTCCAGCACTCAGTTCTCTAAACTTGGCGTACGCACTCGGTTGTCTATCTGGACCGTCAGTACCGAGAAGTGGGGATAAAAAATTAAACGGACTGGGTACATATGGTGAATGCGAGGGGTTCAGAAGCGAATCAGAGGCAGTGTGAAAGGACGAAAATCGAGGTCGGTACATCGCGTCAATTATGCTATTGTTATGTTGAGGATGGACGGGCATTGGAAACGCTAATGGTGTGGACACCATTTGCTGTGGTGAATCTTCACGTTTCGGTTCTACTCCTTCCACATCAACATCTATTGTATCATTCTCAGGAGTTTTAGTCTCGCGTTCATTTGGACTTTCTGGTGGTGAATAAGACTTGACTGATGAATTACGAAAGGAGCGATCATCGTTGTCGATCTCAGACTCTTTGTCGCTTTGTTTTCTTGAGACAGATAGATCTAGCGGTTGATCACCTTGATCTTTTTTCGCATCTTCCTCGGTATCTGAATACGAAGAATGTTTATCAACATCGTTTCCTGAGATATTGGATAAATCTTTAGCTGTAGATGGTGAAGCTGATTTCCTTCCCACACAGTCATTGTTATTGAGCTTTAGCGACAAGTTAAAAGGTGTATTCTGTTTCATGTCGTCTCTTGAAAAGTTGAACGAATTTAATGGTGCCGGAACAGGCTTTGCAGGCGAGCAACGTTGCTGGGTTGAGGGCCGCTCTGCAGAAGGAAGAGAGGGTTTTACATATAGACCATGAGAATTCGTTGGTGTATTTCTATCCAAATTATCCTCCTGCTTATGACCTTCAAATTCTGAATCTTTAGTCCTTTTCATATCTTCAATAGAAGTTGTGCTGTCCATGCTTTTAACAGACATACGTTCTTCTTGTTGTTTGGATGCCAAGTTAGCGCTCATCGCCATATCGTGTTCCATAGCTAATCTTGCTCCTTGTACGTTAAATAGCAAAGGATTTAAAAATTCTGGTGGACAAGCGGCAGCCGCAGCAGAAAATAAAGCTGGGTAATGAGCGAAGGTGTTGTAGGGTAACGGTAAAGGTCCCCTGTACATGGGAAACGGATTAGCATTATTTGGAGTATTCATGCCAACGTTTGGTAAGGGCGGTATTTGAGGAAGTCCTTGAGGAAGTTGGCCACGTAAGTTAACGTTTGCAGCTGTTGCTGTATCACAAAATCTTTTATGTTTAGTGAGGGATGCGTATGATGTGAAGGACTGACCGCACTTTCCACACTCAACAAGTGCTCTACACGCAACGTGCATTCGTTTGTGGCGGCACAGATTGGAGAATTGAGTGTAAGCCTGAAAAAGAATGAGAATTCAATATTATTACCAGCAATCTTAAAAGTCCGCTATAATTATAGCTAGTTGTTCAAGTAAAGTATAACAAATCGATTCGGAAAAATTTTACGTCTATTAAGAACTTTATTTGTAAAGAGAAATGGATCACACCCTACGTAATGTCCTATAATGTCCTAGTGTCCTATTGCAATATAGGTTTCAACAATGCTAAGTACATAATATACCTTTCATACAGTTAGGCTTAAATGCAAAATCGTAGGCTGTTCTCTTAAATGCGTTCGATGCATCTGCTACATACAGGTAAAATAATAAGCCCAAAGAGATAAAGGATTAAGGATATAGAGTATGCTCACCTTGAAGCAAACCTTGCATTGGAAGGGCTTAACACTGGAGTGTATATGGGTGTGCTGCTTGAGGCCGGAGGAGGTCGCGAAGGTCTTGCCGCACTCTGGACATGCGTGGCTGCGTGCACCCACGTGCTGCGCGCGGATGTGGCGCTGCAGGTTGGAAGGATCGGTAAATACCTGAAATAACCAGGTTTCGGTGCGCTTCATGCATTTAGTTCAGAATATTTGATTTGCTATACTTAACTTGACTAAAATAGCTTTATTTAAGAACGTTACGAAAGCTTTTCAACTTAGAAACATTACAGGTTTAATTTCAATAATTTTATCCTACAATTTTAATAATAAATATTACTTATTTTATTTATGGTAAATCTTTTTCAGAATTTTTATAAATTTTAAGAACTTCTATAACACTTTTACTAAAATTGGAAAAAAAATAGAATATGATCTCACCTTGGGGCAGTTCTCACAAGGATATTTCCTTATGTCTGTATGAGCAAGAGCCCGATGCCTCAACAACAATGCACGAGAACTATAAGCACGGTTGCAAAGCTCACAGTGGAACGCGGCTGCGGGTTGAGCATGCGCCTGGATCAAGTGGCGGTCAAGCCTGAAAATAATAAAAAATATATGTGAGAAATACACAAGAATTAATGTTTAAGCGAAAAACCGAAGCAGCTCAAGAGAGTTGTGAAGTCATTGTAAGGAAACCCACAAGGACGGAAATTAAACATAATTGAAGAACTTGCAAAACCATGAAACTCCACTCCTGACCCTAAACAAGCCCTGTACACAGCAGATAAGATTGTTATGTGGCAAAATTATACTTAAAATATAATTTAGAACAAAACTACTCAAAATTAACTGCTTGTAAAAGTTATTTAGTTACTTTTTAAGAGGAACCCGTCTAAAGAAAATTTTTCCAAACTACAAAGAAATAAAGTCGTTCTGTTCTGCAAAACAAAGACCAAACTTTGATCAAATTATTCTATATTATCAAGTAAAGCAATCCATGGAAGTACCAATTCAAGCAACAGTCAGTTAACAAACTACGATTTTGGTTTAGTTTTAGTCTAGTTTCATTATCGCGCAAATCATTTCAATCGAAAAAAGTTTGCCTCCATACTCACAGCACAATGTAACATATGAATTAGCTCTATCACCAACATTTCTTGCTAGTTCTTAATGACATAGCTGGATAAATTGAGCAAGGAAGTTGCGGTATTTCTACGTAAATAAAGTTGCTTAAACGCCCGTGACCCGTGACTAAAAATACGAGACTAAAAACACAATTTGGTATTTGTGGTAAAACTTTTGACGTGGTGTAAATAATTTTACGCATCCTACAGTTCGGCTCAAAGTCCCGAGAAGTTTTTCCGATATTAGAACCAAGAGAGGATAAACCTTTTTTATAGACATAGGGTGACAAATGAGCACACAGTCCACCCGATGGTTAAGTGGATGTTGTGGCCCATAGAAATCTACACTTATCCTCGATTAAGTATCAAAGCGCAGATGCGTTGTCACCCCTAAGGACTAAGGTGGAATGCCTCGTTTCCAGTAAAAGGATCTCTGGTTCTCTACACTCACAAAAGGGTCTCACCATATGAAACACAGCAGTATTAAGCTGCTATTTTACGCTGGTATTCAGTGAGAGCGTGGTTCTTCACCGGTCGAGCCGACCCATTCGTACTACAACCATAATATAGCTGCAGCGTGGCTTTACCACGTATAAACATAAGAAAGAAATAATTAGTATTTGTGTTAAAGTTAAGAAAAAATTTGCTATAATCAAAAACTTTATCCTATATTTCGTAGGGCTATATTTAAGTATTACTCATTCGTTAGAATCCGTGATATTTATTAAATTATAACATAAATAGAGTCAGATTTTTACATACACTATTAATATCGATTTAAAAGAACAATCTATAATAATTTAAAAAGCTTAATCAATTTTGTCTCAGCTAGCGAAATGGCACTACTAAGTTTCTCGTCCAAGCATTCAGGAAGGGATAAAATAATAGCTCCATACATTGGAACCGCCTACGCAAAACTATCACTGCCCTATGCAATATTCCAATGTGTCTTAGATCCATATTGCAAATATTAGAATTAATTTTTGCAATAAATTCCAAACTTACAAGTTTCGATAGTAAGACGATCGTTGTAAGACTGTCGTTGCGTGGATACCCGCCGTTTTATAGGTTACGTATTTCATGCGTCGAAATCAAGCATCAGATATCAATTTGTATATAATTGTCATTTGAATTCGAGGCCATCATATGCATATATTCCGTATGATGGAAAATGTATCATTTACAAAAATCCTCTCAGTGACTCTCCTGGTACTCAAACTGGTCTCAAACACGCAAACCTAGGCGCCGTAGGCATTTTCTATCACTTCACTTGTCATATCTTTAATAATGTGCTCTCATTACGTACCAGTTTCATTGCTCTTTGAGTATTGAAATATTGTTTCGTTTTATTACAAAGATGACGATCTAACTCATCCAATTCGATAGAGTCGACGTTATCACGTTTCTAAGTGAGGCATTTTCACTCTCGCGGCCGGCCTATGCCGTATCTTTTAATTAATCTTAAGTATAAAATCTGCCGTCATAATGGTGCCGTCGGAAACACGTTGTCCGATCATCCATTGCGTAGTTAGACTACTAAGCTTAATAATCAAAGCAGTGGGTAGTCCAGGAAGAGCTTACTTCATTATAATACTGGCTGCAGACTTTCATTTTTGTAGGTGCGATGTATCGATACGATAAAATTTTAAACACGTAAACAGAATATTGTCGGTTTAACTATTTATAAAAATTATATTGATAAGTTTAATTTTCGTATCCCAAGTAGATATTCTCGTAAGTTCATTACTGCTCTTTCGCCGCCTCTTCGTAGAACTGTACTAGGACTTAATTCCCCAATAACCAGACTTTGCGGACTTCTAAATACTTATAATAATGTAGTAGATATTCACCACTCTTAACATTTTTCGACACAAAACTTATCAAACTATTAATATTTATTTGTAGTAACTAATTTCTTTTTGTATTAATTCAATTATTTTTATTTTTATTTTTTGTATTTTATATTTTAGCTATTAAGTAAAGGCTAGGAAATGCTGTGAGCACTAAGCATGCGGTGTTCACCTATGGTTGAATGTGCAATTAATTTATAATACTGTCTTAGAATTAAGCATATGTATTAGTGTAAAATTTGTTGGTGAACCAAATAAATAAATAAATATGTAGGCTTTTGATTTTTTTCTGGAAAACAATTAAATCTTTCACTAACCATAAAAAGTATTTTGTAAAATTATGCAATATGCAATACATATATCAGAATAATTTTTATTCAATATAGATAACATGTAATTATTATTGAAAGTCATTTTCTTACTTTACCAAACCCAATGGAATTTATTTTTATGTCATTGTCGATTTCACTAATTTAAAGTAGCTCTTTAGTAGCTACGTAAACGACGTATACGCAATACCTATACAACGTATAGCCCCGGGGTGCATTTGCAAGAACGCCTGTATCGGAGCTAGCGATCTTCGGAGGCTGGGTTGTTTTTTATTACAAACTCATAACATCATCTAAGTAAACGTTTCCAACAAGTATCGATTGTGTACCTTTTAATAGCACATTGCGTAATTGTATATTAATTGGAAAGTATATTACAAATGTGTTGTATTTGATCCATAGCTTAGCAAAGTAATTAACTGTTTAATGACATATTCAACGCGGCGCTTTCTAACTTAGTGGTACAATTATTGAAACTAGATAATGAACTCATAATAATTTTGAGAAGCACTCGCAAAAAATATAAATAATATTTATAATAGTAATTTAATTGGTGCCGGCGGGGATCGAACTCGGGTTGCTCGCGTAGAACATAAGCTCGCCTAACAACGCGAAGAAACTTGCACGTCTGAGAAATAAAAAAAAATAAGACATGTGAAATCCCACTAACATCACTGATCTCTATACGAATACGTATAAGTACGCTGGACTGGCTATACACTACAAAATGTTTGTGCCAATCTGAAGCGCCGCGCCGCCGTTGTTCGTATGGGGTAAAATTGACATAATATGCCAAAGTCTGCTATGTTGTTCAAATCGTATCTCTTGTTGTTGATTTTAGTTATGTAATAAGAATTATTTTTGGTAATAATGTAAATGTGCGTAATTTGTTAAACACGTTATCAAAAGAAAAGTGGGATAACATTCCACAAGTACGTGAATTTACAACTAATATAAAAAATTAAACTATTTAATAATATAGGTACTTAAAATTTTGTTACTAATCTTAATATCGTAATTACCAACATGTTTAGCAATATATTATACTATTGAAAAAGTTTATATACAAAACTAGTATTATTTAAATGTGTAGTGATCGCGTAAATATAAGAAATCAGATTTTTGATAAACAATAAAATTCAATAGGGTTGTCGAGTTCCTTGTCTACAGTATTTATCGATATTCTTTTCTACCCAATACCCAATATCTGTTATCAACCTAAGTCGCCGACAACAGATAATTATCAAATGTTACTGTTGTTATTGATTCACAAACTCTAGAGTAACAATACCCAGTATTGGCTACTCCACGTTTGTGTTGGAAAAATGCAAACAAACTTATCTGAGAGTAAGACCAAAGAGTAAAATTATTGGAGGGTTAGTTACTCTGGTGTAACATGGTATTTGGTCAAATCAATCCTTAATACCATACTATTAAATAACTGTGTAATAATAATATGATATACTTTAATGTAACGTTGCCCGTCACGGTTCGTTGAACGATGCCATCTGAAGAGGTCGTGTCTCTATAATTATTTCCTTTGGTTTTAGAGCTTTGAGCATTTAAATACGATGGCAGAAGACCCAACGGTATAACTTTGGATGCTTGAGAAAGAGATAACGCTTTAGTGTGAGATACTAATTGCGAAGACACTTTCGCAGCTTCTCATCACAGAGGTACCTCGTTTAAAGCACGGCTGGCATAAGCGGCAACTGAATAAATTAAGTAGCTCAAATATGAGCTTCTGAGAGATGAGTATATATTTGGGCCATTTCATGTAGAGAATATCAGTCCGTGGGGTTCACATGCAGTGAAGTTCCTAAAAATGTTGCTTATTTTCTCGCTCACGGGCTAAGTATAGCCAGTCAGAGAGGAAACACAGCCAGCGTTCTTAGCACTATACCGAGGGTAGTAGGACTGTATGATAATTTCAGTTTTTAGTTTTTTAATATAGTTTTTTTATATTGTAATTTGAATTTCGAAAATTAAATTGTAAATAACTAATAACTTTGTAATTTAAAGTTTATATCTTTTTATATACGTTGCTAGATACCCGGCGCATTGCTGTAGCAGAAGAAATAACTGTAGATATATCGTTTTAAATTTGAAAGAGTTATATTGTTTAATTAGGAATGATAACACAATCATTGAAATTGAATAATCTATACCTTTCAAATAAATTGTCAGTACGATACGCCCGCCACCTAGTGTAAGTTATTTGCACCTATAATCTTCACGCAAGTGCAAGCAATAAGTTGAAAAAGTTTTCTCGCAATCTGAGAACGGTATGGC